GTTAATATATATGCATCATTCTCTTTCTAAAACCTTCTTTAATTATTTTAAAATTTAAATTTGTAACCTCTAATAAAAAAATTTTATGTTCTTAATTATTGGAATGTCCCATAAAAATAACAAATCTTTTTTTCCCTTGATGATTCTTATGTTGCTTGGGCAAGCCTATGCATAGAATCAGATGAATGGTGACCCCCCAAGAGGACAACCGATAAGAGGACAACCGAATAGTTTGATCGACTATAGATTAATTTAATCCAATTTTATGTTAATTTGTAATTTTGTTCAAAGATTGGTTGATTAATTTACATGATAAGATACTTTTTTTTTTTATCAAAGGTAAGACAAGATATACTAATTAATTGATTCATAAATACAGATATGATATAAATCCTACTTATTATATTAAAAAAAATTAAACTTGAAATTTGAATTAGGAGTACTGGCATAATTTCTCATCTACTTTTGGTAATCTATGCTTTTTCAGAATGGTGCCTTTTATCATTGTACTAGACTATACGGATCACTGATGCGAAAAAAGGAGTTTGCACAAATCTGACCCAACCTCTACGTAGCAGGCATGGGGTTCATGCTAATACCCCTTTATGCAAAGGACGACACTCAAATCATGCACATTCCTTTAGTCCAAGAAGACATAATTCTTTACCAAAAGAGAAGAACAATGCATCAACATTCGTCGTTTCAATGGTTACATCAATTTCTCTAGGCTTATTTGATAAGATTCGAATTTTTTTAATCACTCATTTTTAGAATTTGAGTCTCTGCCAAAAGTCCCACATGAGTAATTAAGTGACTTTGTAAGTGTTTCTCTGATATTAACAGTCAGAGTATCTTAAATCAATTTTTATGTATTTCAAAACTAATTTATTTTTAAACAATGTTAAGAATGCACCTAACCTGACCTAATGTATTTAAGAAATTTAATTGTTTTAGTTGCCAGCCCCAAAATTTGAACTTTGGATGTAATATAAATGCACTTACTTACTAATAAATCCAATCTTAAAGTTTGACATGTAAGTGTCTTGTACGTATCTCTTCCTAGGGTTCATGACATGTCTGGTCTTGAATTGAGAAAAACTCCCTACAAAGTCTATTTTAGAAAAGAAAAATTGCTATTTATGCGGAAAAAAGCTATGCCAGAGACCCACTCCCCCCAGTATTCGTACAATTCATATTCTTTCATCAAATATTGTGATGCCTAAAAGGTTGAATGGTTAAAAGTGTTGAGCCATTCTGAAATGGCAAACAAACCGGTACATGAAGAAGGCACTGTCACAAAAAACAAACATCATGATATCACAAGCATACATATATATATAATTTTGGACCCATATATCTCCTTTAGAAGATGTCTCGCAATTTTGTATTAAAAATATCCAAGCTTTCTTTTCAGGGTCTTGTATTTTCAATCTTCGTTTATTATAAATTTTAAATAGTCATCATGAAGGGATATAAAATGAAAATTTTATAATATCAGGAATCAGAATTCACTGCCTTCGAAATATATATCACATCCTAGTCGTTTTAAAGGCCTATAATTAATTATCAAGTTATGGAAACAAAGATAAGTTAGATTCAGGAGAGGAGAGGCTCTTCTTTTTTGTAGCTAGAATGCAAATAGTTATAGCACTTATTTTCTACAAGGATTTAATCTCTTTATCTTGATTTCAAAGTTAAGATTTGAAAATGGAAAATGAATCATACAATGCATCGTTGTTACAATGAAATTTCACAATGGTAAGTGTGGTAGTAATTATAATGATTCTTTTTCACTCAATGAGATATATAAATTAGTATATATCTATCTATTTTTTTAATATTATATTTTGTAATTGAAAAATATCATGTAAATCAATTTTTTTTATTTTATATATGTGTGACCATAAAATAAGAGATCACCCATTCACCCTTCATTTTCTAAATCTCTTATCACACATTTCAAGTTTTAAATTTAAAACATTCAACATAAAAATTCAAATTCTCACCAGCATTTTACCTAAGGGACATGTAGACACCGACGGAGCAAGGGGGCTAAGGGGGAGTCCGGGCCCCCCTTAACTTTTGTGAAACAGGCACTAATTTGTCCACCAAGTTTTCATTTTATTATTTTATTTTTAATTATTTTATACCTTTTTAATTATTTTCTATTTTTTTATCATTTAAGATTATTTGTAGTAATGATGAGAAAGATAAGAAAATTTAATGATTAATTGAAAGTAAAACAGTTTAATATATTTTTTTCTTGTAGGATTTTGTTTGCTAAGAAATTTTTACTTTTGAAAAAGTTCTATAGTGTAATTAACTAAATTATTAATAAAAAAAAACACTTTTCCACTTATATTTTTAAACTCTCACTCCCTCTCCCATCCTTAAAAAAATTTGGTACCGCCACTAGATGTAAATCAACAATGAATTGAAGAATAGCCACTCACCAAACTTTTAGTGGTTCACTCAAGAATTTTGAATTTATAGTACATATAAATATATATATATATATGATTGCCTTTTTTTTTTTTTTTTATCATCATATATGTTTCTCTTTTTCATTTCTAAATCATTCCTACTATTTTTTTTTTTTTTGAGATTTTGTGACTTAGGAGAAAGAAAATTTAAACTCAACTCTACATAAATATTATAAATGTAATTGGCAAAAAAATATTGTTTTATTTCTAATATATTTGATATTAGACTGTAAACAGCTGTGAAGAGTTAGTAACAATGGTTTGGGTCGGGGCCAAGTGGGTGAGAAAATCACAAGCACACAGTGGAACGCGTTTTGTTTTTTAAGAAAAAATCGCTAAATATAATACTTAGTTTTGGACCCCATTCAACCGCATCAAAAAGGAGAAATCGTCCTTTCGATCTTCATCATTATATGGAAATCAAAAGGCCGAAATACCCTTCTAATTAAAATTAATCAGAGATTAAACCAATATTCTACCGTGTGTGTGCCTTCTTATCTTCTCTTTGGAGTCATTTATGAACCTCTTAATTTTAATTAGAATACTAATAAAAACATTTTGATTTAATATATTTTATAATATATTTATTTAAAAAGTTATTATACTCATCCTCTATAGATAGCTATTTAAAAAATATCTTACAATCAAAATTAAAAGAGTTATTATTTTTAATTTAAACTTAAAAACAAAAATTTATAAAACTACAAATGATTGAATCAATAGACATCTGTTGGTATATTAAATTGGATAATGTATCAATTATCTTCTTTTTAATTAACAAGAAAAAAACTTTTAATTACGAGTACTGGCCCTATAACAATTTGGTTGGTCCAAAGTTTGATTCCATCCATATTAATGCACTGCACCTGATAAATTAATTGCCCGCCATGAAATTTTTTTTTTTTTTTAACTAGTTGATCTGTTGGTGTGAATTATATAATTTAGCTAAGTGAGAATTATATAATTATAATTTCACATAAAAGTATAAATTTAAAATTTTAATATATTATTAAATAAATAAATAAATAATATTATAGTTAAAATTTTAAATAAAAAATAATTATATAATAATATATTAAAATTATAAATTTATAGTAATATATAACATTATAATTATATTATTTTCGTTGAATATAAATTAGGGACGGCACCGGTCCTGACCCTTTCCATTCCTATGTTGCTAATGGTGCGTAAGAGCATTCTGAGAACAAAAAATACCACTGTTCCTATTCTTACAGGAATGAGGGTCCTCGGCAGTAATCCCTACTCCTATTATTTATAGGAGTCAATAATTTTTGTAAAGTTTATATTTTTCTAAATCAATTGTTCGATACTTTACATAAATAAAATATTAAATCTAACTATTAATCTAATAAAGGCTAATGATTTATACATTTTTCAGTTTAACACATCTATCAATACTCTCTAGTTCAACATATTTATCAATACTTACTAGTTTAACCATTAAATTTAGTAAATGAAATTTTTATTGCTTTGAATTTAAATTTAAAAATAATAATTTTTTAATTAATGTGTTGTAAAATGTGTTAAATTAAAAAATACACTAATCAGTGTCCTTAAATAAAATACAAATTAAATTGCACAAAAAATTATTTGATTAATCTAAGTTTTTTTTTTTTTTTCTGGTGAACGTAAGCTAATCACATAAGTATAAGTTTATCTTGAATAACTGCTCATAAGCATAAATATATTAATTTTAACA